GAATCAAAAATAACACGGAAAAATTCACCTAAATCTCAAAAGGTAACGAGAAGGTAAAAATTTGTTAAGCTGACTGCAGCATTCAGGTTGACCCTGGGATCCTAGCAGGTAAAGGGGCGATAGAATACACAGAGAGAAGGAGGAACAATACGAGGAAAGAAGGCAAGAGTGAGATAAGGCGTTTCGATCTATTAAGTCATATACATCTTAACTCAACACCGCGACAGGACCTCGTCAATATGACGGTCGCAGTGTTTGTTGGAAAAGGATGAGAATGAAGGGAAGGGAGAAAGGAAAAAGCCATGATTGTGGGATTAGCGGGCGTGAGAATGGGGTGAAGAGAAGACAGGGAGGAAAAAAGGATTTAAAAAAAAAAAAACGTTTAGAAAAAAATTTAAAAATGAATTTAAGAAAAAGTTCAAAAAAGATTTTAAAAAAGGTTCAAAAAGGATTTCAAAAAAAAAGAATAAAAAAAGAATTTTAAAAAAAGATTTCAGATATTTTTGTTAATTTCGTCAACGAAAGATCCAAACAATAACCTCTCGTTCATCCTTCTCCCTTACGATAACCCAGTGTCCATTTTCATCAGTTTTGCCAAGCAGTCTCTCGATGGCTTCCATATCCAGCAGTTCTAGGGTTGTCGTTTCATCGTGAAGGCGACTCATACCTTTCACAATTATGTCCGAGATTTCTGCAGCTGTGAGGTCTCTTTCTGAAAAATTTGCATAATTTAGTCGAATTCCCGTACTACAGGCCATTTTCTATCCGTCTACAGCTTAATTTTCTTCTACTACACGCAAAAAATGGGCTTAATACTTCCAAATCACACATGTCATTTGAGAAAACTAACTTACTAATATCATCAGTACTGCCCAAAATTTGTTCAGTCATTTGCAGTTTTCGCGCGGCACGACACAGAATCATATCTTCAACAGTGTAACGCGCAATCAAACGTATAATTTTCACCGGCCTAAACAATAATCTGGCCACTGCAGACATAGAATATAGAAAACAGTAATCTAGCCATTGTAAATTCCTTCCTTCTTCACCCTCCTCCGGTAATCAACATGTTCTTTTTTACGCAGTGAAATGGGGGCACTGTACTGATGATTCCCACCTCATTTCGTATCGATTCTGCCGTCTGTGTTTACAGCTCAAGAATGAAACATAGACAGGGTACCAGCTCACTGTACATACAAACTTGCTTATTTGGGAAATCTAAACGGCATTTTTTGTTTTTCGTTAATTGTCAAAATTCGATTGTGTTCCTCGCCATGGCACAAAACAAACTGCATATGTTAAAAACAGCAGACTTCAGGTTTCCGTCCTTTTCCATTCTCTTTGCCAGGAATATTTACTGTATTGTACTTTCAAAACTGCTGAAGAACTTAGATTCGAAACTACTGACAAACTGCTGCAAGACTCAAAAAATAGAAAAATAAAAAAGATTTAAGCGGCCCAATTTAGCAAAAATCCCCTACGCATTCTCTATAACGATTTTTTCAGCAAAAGTAATAGAAGAGAAAGAATAAACTTTTTTTTTAAGCTGAAAGAAATCCTTAAAAGTCTCACTTTGTCTGCCCAATTCGATGACATCGTGCTGCAGCTTGGATATCATTCTGTGGATTGAAATCTGAATCCAAAAAAATCACAGTGTCGGCCCCCGTTAGATTCAGACCAAGGCCACCCGCTCGAGTTGACAGAAGAAAGCAAAATGTTTCTGGATCACCCTGGAAACGATTTATTGCTGCAAAACGCTCCTCCGCTCTCACACTTCCATCCAAGCGCTGATAGCTGTAGCCTAAAATAGATGAACTTTTCCAAGAAGTTAACGTACTTTTGGAAAAATTCCAATTTAATTCAGCTTACTAGTTAATAACAATTTTTACAAAAAAGCGTGCATTCTGGTTTTTAGGTTTGATTTTCATGAAGTTCACTCTGCCATGGCTGCGTCCTACATACGGAATTACTCCAGTAACATTACTTAACATCGGATACCCAAATCAACCACCTAAGCAAATTTAATATTTATAGCAAGTAGCAAAAAATATTGGTACCTTTGTAAATCAAGTAATCTTGAGCAATGTCGAGCACTCGCGTCATTTGTGAAAAAATCAAAACACGATGTCCTTTTTGATGCAAAAAAGCAAGCAAACGATCGAGCAAAAAAAATTTTCCGCTAACTTCGAACAAATGATCGCCTTCTTCAAATGGTTCTGGCTCAACACCTGTACAAAGAGGAGTAGGTTAAATGCAGCAGTCTAGCAATACAGACAGAACTGTATATGGAATTATGGATATTCTTATCTCCAACTGCATAATTTTCGCAAATTTGTACATAAAATCATAATAAAACAATAAAGTAAAAGAAGAAATAACTGCAAAGTGGCAGAAAATTTTAAGCAATCACGTTAAAACAACGGCTAGGTAGCAATGCCGCGGAAAACTGGCAAGAGATATTTATAGCGGAGTCCTTTGCAGGTCTATGGGTCGCGACGTCTCCGTAACGAGAATGCAGCGGAAAATCCTCAAAACCCAGTAAACCAGAGGCCGCCTCAAAGTAACGGAATATAAATACCTATGGCAAGCAACTAAAAAAGCTGCACGCTGC